ATTCTGACTTGGTGGAGCGCCAATCCTTTCCAGTTTTCGTGATGCCTGCTTTATGGCTTTAGGGAGCAAAGCTGCGAGCTGTACCACGGGGCTAGCCTCCTCTGTTTCACTGCCTTCCTTTTCAGAGGGGCAACGGTATCAAGTGTATTACGCGGGAAGGCTGCAGTACTATCAACAAGATTATCGACTTGTGTGGGAGTAAAGTTAAGGTGGCCTCCTTCCACTGTGTTGGCAAACGGCACTGAAGTAGATAAAGATGGAATTATTTCCTTAAACTTGGTAACAGCATTGTCAGATAGACATCTGCTGTAGTGGAATTGTTTCCCACATAGAGTATAATCCATTAATGTAAATTCAAAAGTTATTAGAAAATGGTCAGACAGAAGAGGGTTATGGGGAAAAACTATTAAGTGTTCAGTTTTGATGCCATATGTCAGAACAAGATCAAGAGTGTGATTAAAACAGTGAGTGGGTTTATTTACAGTTTGAGAGAAGCCAACTGAGTCTAATAATGAACAGAATGCATTGTTGAGGCTGTCATTGATGGCATCAACATGGATATTAAAGTCACCTACTATGATTATTTTATTTGTACTAAGCACTAAATCAGACAAAGTCTGAGAATTCACTTAAAAACTCTGAATAAGGAGCAGGTGGACGGTATACAATAACGAATAGAACTGGCTTTTGAGTTTTCCAGTTTGGGTGTGAGAGACTCAGGGTGAGACTTTCAAATGAGTTATAACTATGTTTAGGTCTAGGGTTGATTAATAGGCTTGAGTCAAAGATCGCTGCCACGCCACCACCTTGGCCTGTGTTTCGAGGGATGTGACAGTTACTGTGACTAGGTGGAGTGGATTCATTTAGGCTGACATATTCTTCCTGCTGTAATCATGTTTCAGTAAGACACAATAAGTCAATGTGATGTTCACTTATCAAATCATTCATTAAGTTTACTTTTTTAAATTAGTTTTTATAAAGTGGAGGTTTGTATATACATACAGATGCTGCAGAGGAAGATGCTGTTCCCCAGATGTAGTATTATGGTTTCTGAGTTGTTGAAACCGTTTTGTCCACAGACTTGTCTGCTTTTTGTGTTTTACTGGCAACTGGCCCAGAAAGACTCCAGTGCTGCTATGAAAGACATCCACCATCCAGTTACACGAATAGAGAAAGCCAGTTGTAATAAATGAGTGACTCAGCAAAGGTGTGGCTGCAGTGAGGACCAAATGTCACTTCAGGTGCATATTTGCATGGTTTGGGCATACAGACTTCAGCCAGTTTTGCTGAAAGTCATCTGTTGGCAAACCAGCTCTGGGCCAGAGTCAGAACTGAGAGTCAAGGCAGTGTCACATGCTGTGGCCTTCCCAGTAACCAGGTCTCAGCCCAGTTGAACAGCTATGGGAGATGTTGGAGTGATGTGTTGGACAGCATCTCCACCACCATCATCAAAACACCACATGAGTAAACATCTGTTGGAAGAACGGTGTTCATCCCTCCAGGAGAGTCAATGCCAAGGTGGAGATGTTCTGGTGGCACGTGGTGGCCCAGCACCTTACTGGGACTCTTTAGGTTGGGTCATCCTTTCTTTGGTCAGTGTCCATCCATTGGACACTGACCAAAGAAAGGACGACCATCCATCTCTACTGCTTATCCTGAAGAGGGTCATGGGCGAGGTCCACCCTGGACAGGTCTTTGTCAGCATCTATCAAACTAAAAACTGAAGGCTTTTCATTAATTTAATCCACTGTTCTTTCCTTTGGCAGCAGAAAAGAGTTTTAAATGTCACACAATAAAGGAAACTGAAACTTTAAAAAAAAGAAAATAAGACAGAGTGGGAGATAAAGTTTGGCTCAGGTCACAGTGGTAAAGGTCTGTTCAGGACACGATGAATGTTGTCTGCGGCGTCTGCGTGTGTTTCAAGGTCACTGTTACGGCTCTTTGCTCGATGGACTTCAGCAGCTTCCCTCTGGACACGCAGAACTGCTGGCTGGAGCTGGAGAGCTGTGAGACACGCACACAATATATATACAATACTGACAACTTGATGGTGTAACAAACCCTCTAATCACGGTTTCTCATATTTCCTCTGTTCTGTCACTGCTCGCCCCTCTCTCCTTCTGTAGATGCATATAATGAGAATGACCTGATGCTTTACTGGAAGAATGGAAATGACTCCCTGAGGACAGATGAAATCATCTTGTCTCAGTTCTTCATCAAGCATTTCCACGCCTCCAGTGGCCTGACTTTCTACAGCAGCACCAGTCTGTTTGTTTTCAGGAACAGGCGAGCTAGGCTACTCACCTAGCAAGGAAACAGATGTCACTCCCTGATCACAACCCAGAGAAAGAGCACTGTATTAATCCCGAAAGAAAAGTATCCTACTTACCTATCTATCATGCCAGGGAGTGATCTCCTTTTCCTTGTTTTATTTGAATACTTTCTATGAGGCCTAAGGACAAGGCAAACTCGTCCAGATGTAACCTGTGACAAGCAGCTGCATCTTAAGGTGTTTCTTGTGCAGAAAGCTTGGGAGCCATTATGCTTCCAACCTTGTGTCAAGAATTTGTGTTTGGTCCTTTCCTGTTGACAATGACCCCATGCACAAAGCCAGCATTATGAAGTAAATGTTCTGTTTGTAGTGGAGAATCTGGCCTGCACAGAGCCCTGACACTGATCTAGATGTGGTCACCCACTAATGCTCTTGTGTTTGAAAAGGTCAAATCCCTGCAGCTAGGTTCAATGTTTGGTGGGAAAACTGAAAGCAGAGGGGTGGAGGCTGTTACAGCAGCACATTAATGTCTATATGATTTAAATAAGTGTCTCCCCGTCAGGTTGGTACAATCGACTCTTCATTAACTTCATCCTGCAGAGGCACATCTTCTTCTCCATGCTGCACATGTATTTTCCTACCATGCTAATGGTCGTTCTCTCCTGGGTTTCCTTCTGGATTGATCGCAGGGCTGTGCCTGCAGGTGTCTCTCTGGGTACGTACATCCATATGCCAACCTGATTTTAGCTATAACCACAGTAGCCTGAAGGCTTTGTCCTTAAAAACACACATACACAACAGATGCACTTACATTTGTGCTGTGTAATTTTGTATCACCTTTTTAGATAAAGACATTAAAAATCACTTCAGCAGAGAATTCACAGATTAAATGCAACTAAATGTAGTTATGTTGAGTCTGATAAAAGAAATTCACAGAAAGCAAGTTTTATGTAAAAGTAAAATTGATACATTTTAAACAGTCCCCATTCAAAAATGAGTTATTTAAAACTATTGTTTTTTTATCCACTGCAGCAGTATAAATCTTTGTACTCATCAAAACTGCTTTCACTTAGGACTTTACACACTTTGGACAGTGGTTGGCTGAATTACGGTTGGGATAGTTTAGTGATATTTACTTAGAAATATGCTGATGCAAATGATATTTACAAACCACATAGTAATTATAAAACGTCTTCATTTCTCACTCTTGACACTGATCAGCAGCAGGTCAGGTCAAACTTCATGTGCTTGATATTTGGACCCAGTAAATTGTGTGAAAACAATGTGCTGTGACACAGACACACCTCTACTTTCTCGTCCTGCAGGTATAACCACAGTGTTCACAATGTCCACCATCATGGCAGGAGTGTCCTCCTCCATGCCTCAGGTATAGCAGCGGCTGTGGTTGTGTGCATTCTCTGCAGTTTTTCCTGTGCATGTTCATAAGAGCTCTGAGGGTCCAGAAGCAACTCCTTCAGATCTTACTGAATACCTTTTAACCTGTTAATAAGTTGGCTTCTTGCTTTTCTTGTTTCCAGCTTTTGACCTAAAATGAAACATTCATCAAACAAATATCCTTATTTTACTTAACTTGTTTTTAGATTTCTTACTGCAGTTTACTGGATTGTGTCTTCCCTGATTATCCTGTCTTCCCTGATTATCTTGTAATCTGGCAAAGGTAGATGTTTTGCTTATAGCTTTTATCATTTACACAGTTATTTAGTTGCCTTTGTAAATCACTGAAACATTTGTCCAATGAAAACTGCTTCAAAAATAAAATTATAATGCACACAGCAACACTGCGAATGATAATAAAATCTATCCATCTGTTATCTATACGCATTGTGGTCTGTGTCCTGCTTTCTGTTGTGCGCTTTTATTTTGGTTATTTTTCTGCCCTTTGTTGTTTCTGTTTTTGTTGCATCTGCCCCAGCTTCACCCCAGTGCACAACTTCTGTTCAATGCTTCCACCTGCTGCTCGCTACCTCCTGGTCTCCTGTCTTTATATCCTCCTCCCTTCCCCTCAGTCTGGTTGCTGGCTCATCTGATCTCCATGCCTCACTTGTTTCCTGTCTCCTGTGCTCCCTCGATCTCCCCACCTGGTTGGTTCTTTTGCCTTCACATTCTGTTTCTGGCACACCCAGTACTTTAGTTTCTTATTCTTGAATAAAGACTGATAAACTATTAGAACCAGAGTTTGTGTCTGCATTTTGGATCCTTCCCTGCCTGAAACATAACACCACTTATTCCTGAACACAGTCGCTGGAGCCGATCCCAGCTCACACCGGGGTCCACCGTGGACAGGTCGCCAATCTGTCAGACCTGTAGACAAACAACCACAGACACTCACTCCTATGGGCATTTTAGAGTTGCCAATCAACCTAAACTGCATGTCTTTGAACATATTTATTTAATCCAAAACAGACTTTTTCAAACTGATACAAATTAATATATCAACAAATATACAAGTTATATTTATCACTGCACAACAGTTAAGTAGAAATGTAATTAGGAGAGAGAAAAAAATTACCTGTGAATTTGCATGTGTCCACAGGTGTCATATGTGAAAGCGGAGGACATCTACCTGTGGACCAGCTTCCTGTTTGTCTTCCTATCTGTTACTGAATATGCAGCAGTGAACTACTGCACCACGCTGGAGGAGATGAGGAAGATGAAGAGGGGGAAGGTCAGCACAGGCAGTAAGCACAAAACAATGATAAGAATCAATGGTGGAACTAAATATATACCGTACTGCTCAAAAAAAATAAAGGGAACACATCAGATCTAGGATGTCTTATGTTGTGTTCCCTTTATTTTTTTTTGAGCAGTATATTTAACTACTGTACTTAAGTACAGGTTTGAGGTATCTGAACTTACAGTATTTAAGTTTCCTGCCACTTCATACTTGGACTACATTGCAGACAGTATTTTACTCTATTACATGTATTTGAAAACTTTAGTTCCTTTTCAGAATCAGATCAACAAAACAAAATACAGTTTAATCACAAGACTTTATTGATCCCTAGTGGGAAATTCCAAGCTACCAAGCAGTATGTAAAGTACTTCACAGTATATACAGGTGCAGCTCAATAAATTAGAATATCATGGAAAAGTCTATTTATTTCAGTAATTCAACTCAAATAGTGAAACTCGCGAATTATATAAATTCAGTACACACAGACTGAAGTCCTTTAAGTCGTTGGGTCTTTTAATTGTGATGATTTTGCTCACCTTTAACAAAAACCCACCAATTCACTATCTCAATAAATTAGAATACCTCATAAGACCTATAAAAAAACATTTTTAGTGAATTGCTGGCCTTCTGGAAATTATGTTCTTTTACTGTATATGTACTCAATACTTGGTAGGGGCTCCTTTTGCTTTAATTACTGCCTCAATTCGGCGTGGCATGGAGGTGATCAGTCTGTGGCACTGCTGAGGTGGTATGGAAGCCCAGGTTTCTTTGACAGTGGCCTTCAGCTCATCTGC